GTTGAGAATATTGGGAGGCTGCGCGTCCCCCACGCGTGGCCCGCGGCTCTCACCGCGACTGAGGGTCTGCTACTGAGGGTCTGATACGGTGGCCCGGGAGAAGGCTGTGGCTGGCGGCGGGCACTCTGCCCTCCACGCTGTCTTCATTCCTTTCCCCGTAACTCCTGGGGTTCTGTTTCAGGCTCGGTGCACACCGCTGTTTGCCCCTTTACCCGTGTCTTGAGGGTGTCCCTGTCACCTGGTCGTCCCTCGCCCTCTCCAACCTAAGGCTCTTCCCAGGCCTCTTGGGCGTATCCCCTGGTCTCTGCTTTTGCCAGGCAGATTTTGGTTTCTGCACTTGAGCATTCGTTGTGCTTTGGAGGCTGGACGTCCTGTGTTTGATCCTGGCTGCCAGAGCTGCCCTTGGCATCTGGGCTAGGACCTGGGTCCAAACAAAGGATACTCAATGGAGCTTGGCGGGGGAGGCGGGGGAGGTGGGCACAGTAGGCACGGACCCCGGTGGGGCTGGGAGGGGAACAGGACGGAACTTCCTGGCTGGCCTCCCTCATGGGGAGGCTGATTTTTTTCTTTCTTATTTGAACTTTTCCTGATATTTCTGTAACAACATTAACTTCCTTCTGTAATCAGAGATCAAACTCTGATTAAAATGAAAATGTGTTTTCAAAGGGCTTTTTAGGATTCCTTTATGATACAAACTCCGTATTAATTTGAAACATGACTATGGAATTTTTTTCTGTTTATTTAAACACAGCTTTTGAGTCACAGGCACGGGTGGTGTTCCCGGGAGTGACGGGCTGCTCAGACTCAGACTCACTAGGGCCCTCCCCGGGGCCACCGGGCCACGCGCCGGTGGGCTCTGTGTGAGAGCAGGAGGGCGGCACCACGTGTCTCAGCGCTCATGTTCAGAGATGTCGTGGCTCTCACAGATCCAGAAGCACCGCTGAGAGGGTCTTATTGTCATTTCACAAAGTGGAAAGAGCCTCGTCCGCCTCTTTCAGACACTCCCTCCCAGAGGACGCGGGGAAGTATTTTGACAAGGAGACCCGAGTCCTGGAGGCCCCGATGACCATATGGGTGGCTGACCAGGTCTGTGTTGGGCATCTCCCAGGGATGCCGGGAGCACCTGGGGAGCAGGGGCTTTCCTGGGAGGTAGGCTCAGCCCCTGACTGAGGGCCCCGAAAGGCCAGGGCCCTGGTGTCAGAGCCCAGGCTCACATGCTTTCCCACGGGTGTCTAGCAGCCAGCGGGGCAGGGCTTGCCTCCTAGGAGGGTGCTTGTGGGCCAGAGAGAGGCCTCGAAGGTCTGTCCCGGCCACCAGCACCCACGTGTACACACGAGGGGTGCCCCAGACACTCAGGTGCACACATCTACATGCCCACATGTGCCATACACGGAGACACACTCCCCCCTGCCATGCCCAGCTGGTCCTCAGCTGCCACCCACCACAGCGCCTCCCCGCCCACATCAGGGATCGGTCACAGGGAAGCAGGTTTTATCAAGACGGCCTTGTGTCCTGGAAACCGTGGCCTGTGACCACGAGCAGCAGTGGTCATGCTTCAGAGTTCAGGGGGCACCTGGGGAGTCTCTGAGCCGCTGCAAGGGCATCTGTGCCCTTGGTGCCTCAGAGCAAGCCAGTGGAGTTCACCGTGCATGCCATAGTCACCACCTCGGACCTGGAGCTCGACCCCGCGGAGGTGGATTTTGGCTACTGCACCATCTACGAGGCCATCAGGACGGAAATCCGCCTCCACAACCACTCACTCCTGCCCCAGGAGTTTGGCTTCGTCAGGCTTCCCAAGGTACCTCCTGCAGCCAGGCCCGGGCCAGAGGGACAAGGCTGAGAAGCCCTAGGGACAGGACACAACGGCCGCTGCTCCAAGGTCCCCATGCCTCGGCCGCCCCACCCTGCACCCCAGCCCTGGGCACTGCGGCCCAACCTCAGCCTGTCACCTGCACCCCCGCCCTCGGTCCCTTGCACCTGCTGTGCTCCAGATCCCTGCTCTTCCTTCCAGAACCTTCCCCTGTCACAGTAGGGCAGCCACACAAGGTAGCCAGGACAAGGCCCAAGCCTGGACACCCCTCACCCTTCCCCGGGCCGCCGCACTGCTGACACCCCCAACACCATCATCCTCTCTCGCTCCCTGTCTCACACACACGCACACACACTCACACACGTGCACACATTCACGATTGCTCACACTCTCATACACAAGCGCTCACACACGTGCACATGCTGACAGTTGCTCACAATCATACACATACACACGTGCACATGCTCACAATTGCTCACGTACTCACATATGCATTCACATTCACACTATGCTCACACACGTGCACATGCTCACAATCATGCACTCATACACAAGCACTCACACATTCACACTCACACGTGCAATGTTCACAATCACGCACTCATACACTCACACATTCACACACGTGAACATGCTCATAATTGCTCACGCACTCACACATACATTCACACATTCTCACACACACATGAACATGCTCACAGTCGTTCATGCACTCACATGTGCTCACACATTCACACACACACATGCGCATGCTCACAATTACGCACATGTGCTCACACAAACACGTGAACATGCTCACAATTTCACTCATACATGTGCTCACACACACGTGCACATGTTGACAATCGCTCACACATACATATGTGCTCACATACACATGCACATGCTCACATGCTCACAATTGCTCACAAACACGTGCTCACACACACAAGTGCACATGCTGACAGTCGCTCACATACATATGCACTTGCACATTCACACACACATGTGCACATGCTCACATGCTCACAATTGCTCACGCACACACGTGCTCACACATACACACAAGTGCACATGCTGACAATCACACACATGCACTCACACACATGCACATGCTCACAGTCTCACATTCACACATGCATTCACACATTCACACTTAAACACATGCACATGCTCACAATCACACTGATACACATGCGCTCACACATTCACACGTGCACATGCTCACAATTGCTTATTCATTCATACATGCATTCACATTCACACACGTGAACATGCTCACAATCACACATGCACATGCGCTCACACATTCACACACATGCTCACACATGCACATGCTCACAATCACACACATACACATGCTCTTATGCATTCACACATACATGTACACATGCTCACAACTGCTCATGCACTCACATGCGCTGACACATTCACATGTGCACACACATTCACTCACATTCTCACGTGCACATGCTCACAATTGCTCACACATTCACATTCCTACACACATGCAAGCACACACACGCTTACATTCACACACACTTGCACATGCTCACAATCGCTCATGCACTCATACAGATGCACTCACACTCACGTACTCACATGCTCACACGTGCATATGCTCACAATCATGCATTCATGCACATGCGCTCACACATCCACACACACTCATTTGCACACCCTTCACACACTCCTCACATTCACCCACACGTGATCACGCTAATCTCACAGCCCTGCCACACGTGTGTCCACGCGATCTCCCCATGACACTCCCCTCAGACCACTCTTCCCTTTCCAGTTTGTGGACATCCAGCCCAATGACGGGTTTGGGGCGATCCTGCCCCTGGAAACGCTGCAGTTCGATGTGATCTTCCAGCCCACCAAGGCCAAGGAATACAGCTTCGAGCTCATCTGCAAGTCTGAGATCAACCGGTGAGCCTGCCAGGGAGTGGGGTGCAGTGGGCCCGGAGAGCCTGCTCAGGAGGGACCACGTTTCCCAGCACCACCGCATCCCAGCCTCTGGACCCCACCTGTCTGGCTGACCACAGGGCTGGGCTGGGCAGCACTGCTGGCCAGCAGGAAGCTCAAACCCGGGTGCAGACAGCTAGCTTGCATTCTGGGCCAGCTCAGCCTTGTGTGTGTATGTTTATGTGAGTGTGACAGCATGCATATATGTGTCATGAGTATGCATGTGTATGAGCATGTGTGTGACAACAGGTGAGTGTGCCTGTGTGTGAACGTACAAACGTGTGTGTGCATACAGGTGTATCACTAAGAGTAGGTGTGAGTGCATGTGTGTGTGAGCCTGTGGGAGTGTGCATGTGTGTGATTGAATGTGTGAGTGCATGTGAGTGTGGGCATGCATGTGAGCTCACTCATTCACACACAGGCATGAGTGTATGGGTGTGAGTGCATGTGAGCGTGCATGTGTGTGAGTGCTTTCACGTGTGACTCTGAGTGTGAGTGCCTGTGTGTGAGCATGTGTGAGTGTATATGAATGTTCATGAGTGCTTTTACAAGAGACTGTGTGAGTGCTTGTGTGTGAGCCTGTGTGAGTGTGCGTGCGTGAGTGCTTTTACATGAGACTGAGTGCCCATGTGTGAGCGTGAGTGCACATGAGTGTATGTGTGCAAGGGTACTTTTACATGAGACTGTGAGTGCCCGTGTGTGAGTGTGAGTGCACATGAGCGTGCATGTGTGCGTGAGTACTTTTACGTGAGACTGTGAGTGCCCGTGTGTGAGCGTGTGTGAGTGCATGTGAGTGTGCATGCATGCTTTTACGTGAGACTGTGTGAGTGCGTGTGAGCATGTGTAAGTGCCAGCGTGCATGTCAGTGCTTTTAGGCGACTGAGTGCCTGTGTGTGAGCGCATGTGAGCTTACATGCGTGCTTTTACGTGAGACTGAGTGCCCATGTGTGTGTGTGTGAGTGCATGTGAGCATGCGTGCGTGCGTTTACATGAGACTGAGTGTGAGTGTGAGTGCATGTGAGCGTGTGTGAGTGCGAGTGTGCATGTGTGCGTGAGTGCCTTTATGTGAGACTGTGTGTGTGTACATGTGTGCTGTGCAGGGCACCCGTCTGGACACAGGTGGGCCTGCTGTGAGCCTTGTGTGCTCTGAGGTGCTGTGTGACCAGCCAGTCTCTGCACTTCCCTGAGCCTGCGCGTGGGATAAGGAGGAGCTGGAGAGCAAGAGGTGAAGCCGGACCCGAAGTGGTGGCCGGTGGCTGGTGGTCCTGGGTGGGTTCTTGCTGCTGGGACCATCGGCCTTCAGGGATGTGTTCTGGGGCCAAGGCCGAGACACTTGGGGGTAGTCACAGCTGGGTCTGCGGTCCCTTTGGATCGCTTTTGTTTAAGATGTGAGCCGAGCTGAAGTGAGGTTTCCAATCACTCCAGCCTCGTCACTGGGAAGATTCCATTCTCCCCTGAATTCCTTTGTGCCTCTGTCACATGACCGCCCACCTTTGGGTCCCCCTGGCCTGGGCCACTTGGGCCTCCCTCCATCTCTGTGGGGCCTGGGAATGTATTTATTGCAGAAACCAGGTGGATCTGCTCTGTGGAGTTACCCACAGGCCGGATCTTGCCCCGTGGAGTCAGTTAACATGTTCCTCTGTTCCGTGAAATGCATCCATTGGCAGCGAGACGGCTTCAAAAGCCACGCTGGCTCCTTCCCGGGCGCTTTCACGCCCAGCGTCTCTCCCTTGGTCACCTTCGGCGCTCAGCGGTCCGTACGTTCCATCTGCGATCACAGCCCTGTGACTCCGCCCACCCCTGCTGCAGCCTCCAGGCCTGTGCCACCCTCTGGACTCTGCGCAGCGCGTGCTGCGTCGTCATGCTCCGGCGTTTCATTGCCTCACGGCGCGGCTTCTGCTTTGCTTCACTGTTTGCACAAATTCCTTATTCTCTCTTGTCCCGTAACAGTGTCACCTGTGATTTGACATTTTTCTACTGCTCATTTTCACACGCAATTACTTTTTCTGAACTTTTACAATTTAGTGTAATTTTTTTGAGACAGGGTCTTGCTCTGTCACCAGGCTGGAGTGCAGTGGTGCCGTCGTGGCTCACTGCAGCCTCAGTCTCCTGAGTTCAAGCGATCCTCCCACTGCAGCCTTGAGTATTCCTAGGGCCACAGGAACACGCCTCCCTGCCTGGCTAATTCTTATATTTTTGATAGAGATGGGGGTCTCACTGTGTTGCCCAAGCTGGTCTTGAACTCACAGCCTCAAGCAATCCTCCCGCTTCAGCCTCCCATCGTGCTGGGATGACAGGCATGAACCACGGTGCTCAGCTCTCCTCTGCACACTCAGAAAGGAGCCCAGTTTAGAGCGTTTTTCTAGCTCGTTGGCTCCAGAGCCCCCTCTGCAGTTCCTGTGTGTGAAGTGCCAATAAAAAAAATAGGGTCCCAACTTTCTTAGCTCTGCGTCCTCTGCTCTCTTCCTCCCCTCCATTTTCAGATAATCCACAAACTCAGAAAGCCAACATCATGTACCCTCCACCCAAAATACATACCTTAGACTTCTCTCACACTTGCCTGCGATGTCTTTGTTACAGAAACGTTCTCCCTCAGGTCGGAGCTGGGCTTCTTCTCCCTCCCTCCCCAGAGTCCATCACTGTCAGGAATGCCAGGGGCCGCACTACGTATCTGTGTACCTGTAACCTAGCACACACACACGTGTGCAAGTGTACACGCTTCTGCACTTGCACAGATGTAGGGTGACCACCATGCGGTGTGCCTAGCACCGAGGGGCTTCCCAGGCCGGAGGACTTTGAGTGCCTTGACTAGGAGAGCCCCACGCAGACGGGGACCCCACGTCAGTGGCATCGGACCCACGTAGGTGGCCTCAGACCCCAGCTGCTGGTCTGGATTTTGCTTGTCTCCCCTCAGCCTGGGTGCTTCTGTGACTGACCCTTGTGGCCACCACCGTGGGTTCCATGTAGGACCCATAGGTTTGAGGCCTGTGGCCGTCAGAGCAGCACCTCACTCTAGCTCTAAATGCAGATATTAGAAAAGAGGGTTGGAAAATCAACCAGCTGAGCCTCCTTTTCAAGAATTAGGAAAAGAACACAGGAAATTAAACCCAAAGAAAGTAGAAGGGAAGACATAATAAAGGTAAGAAGTCAGTGAAATGGAGTCAGCAGAGAAAAACAACAAACTAGAAGTCCTCCTTGTACAATTTATACGATCCGTTACCCCAGCAAGGCCGGTCAGGGTAAAAAGAGAGAAACCACAAACCACCAATACCGGGAGCGAGAGGGAACCTCACTGCAGGTGCTAGAAATACCAAAACGATAAGAAGAGAGCGTGACCAGCAGCGTCACTCCAGGAGACCTGACAGTTCAAGGAAATGGACAAATTCCTGAAATACATAATGGACACAAGAAAATGCAGAAAAATCTGAGTACTCAGGCCGGGCGCGGTGGCTCACGCCTGCAATCCCAGCACTTTGGGAGGCCAAGGCGGGTGGGTCACCTGAGGTCAGGAGTCTGAGACCAGCCTGGCCAACATGGCGAAAGCCCGTCTCTACTAAAAATACAAAAATTGGCTGGGCATCATGGCACACACCTGCAATCCCAGCTATTCGGGAGGCTGAGGCAGGAGCATTGCTTGAACCCAGGAGGCAAAGTTTGCAGTGAGCCAAGATTGCGTCACTGCACTCCTGCCTGGGCACCAGAGCCAGACACCATCTCAAAAAAAAAA